GCTGCCAATTGCAATCTGAGCTTCCCGACCACTGGAATTGAACCAGCGCGTGTTCATTTTCTAGTGGTGCTGTCGCCTATGAATGCTGCTGCTGTTTCGTGTTCTGACGCCATGACCGTCTCAATGTGCTCCATGCTCGTGATCACTGATGATTGTAGGTGAATGCTTCGAAATGCTTAGTATGGATAGTGTCGATGCCCTTGCAGAAGTTCCTTTGCTGTGTGATTAAGTTCAGTTTGATTGCTGCCCTTGCTACTCATTTTGTTTATGTTTGCCTTTCTATCTGAACTGAAGCACAGAGGGATGCAAATGTTTTATTATATATAGTAGTTCTAGAAACCAGGGCCATGCGTTTAGTAAGTTGTTATCTCTATAAAGCTTCTGAAGCATGTTATTCAAACTGTTTTATTGATGCTCATGTACCCCCGTAGTAACCCATGGTTTATGATGTTTCTGCAGCATTGGTTTCAACTCGGTGTACCACTTGACCGACTTGCCATCATTCGTGAGCGGCAAGTATGTTGTCATGTTTGATCCTCAGGGCGCTTACCTTCCAAATGTGTCCGCGGCAAATCCTGGAAAGCGCATAGACTATGTCAGTTCTACGGCACTTACATTGTACAGTGACCAGCTCTCGCCCTATCATGCATTTGGCTGCGACATGAAAGCGCCATTTCAAGGAACCTTGTTCCGTTTCCCTTTGAGGAATGCTGAGCAAGCATCCTCTAGCCGGTTATCAAGACAAGTGTACACGGAGGATGATATCTTATCTCTTTTCGCTCAATTGTACGAAGAAGCTGTATACAACTTGCTTTTTCTTAAAAATGTCCTCGCACTTGAAATGTATGTGTGGGAACCTGATATGGCTGAGCCAAAAATAGTATACTCTTGCGCCTTACGATCACAGGATGACAAATTATCATGGCATCGCCAAGCTCTAATCAGGTTCTCTGGCACTTCTGCTGAATCTGTTGAGCAGAAGATAGATTCCTTTTCTATGGATTTTGTATCGGAGGCATTCCTGCGGAACAAGTTTGAGAAAAAGAGCCATACCTATTTTATTGTACAGGGAATGGCATCTGCATTAAGTAAAATAGGTATTTTTGCAACTGGTGCTGCCAAGGAATATGATCTTCACCTACTGCCCTGGGCTTCTGTTGCTGCTTGCATCTCCAAAGTGGAACCTGAGGTAATGCTCGATTCATTTTCAGTTTACTAGCCTAGACTAGCTATGCCCCTGTAGCTATGTAGAAATTGCTTTTTGGTCAGTTTACAAACCATGGACATATTTTTTTTCCCTTTGACATGGTTCCTGCTTTTGATTGACTCGTGACCATAATAGTTGTTACCGATGCATGCCTTGTTAATGGAATGGAACTTGTGAATGTGATTGTGTGAACTGTAAAGCTTGTTAGTTTCCATCTGATTTTGCACTTAAACTAGCAAGATGGATGCGTGACCACAACTCATAGAATTGCAGGTAATTTTTGGCCTATTAGCTGTGGCTAATGTAGTGACCATTTCTTTCATGGGTATGCTCTTCGGTAGTTCGGTGGCAACAGCTGGGCCCAAACTGTTGTTAACTGCTGTTGCTTCATTGCAAAAAAAAAAAAACCATCAACAACAATGCCCTTATGTAAAAGAGTGGTTCTGTATAATCTGCAGTTCTTTTTGTTTTATGTTCAGTGAAGTCTGCACCTATACACTTCATAGTTTCTAGAACTGCAAATAATTTGCTTGATTTATGTTGCAAAATGAACGTCATGTTCTGTCACTGTAGCACATTTCCCCAATGCTTGGCGCATCATTCCAGTATTTTGGTTTTTGCTTCATAGTGTTCCCTGTTTTTACGCTTTATGGTAATTACTAATTTTACAGGATATTAATCTCAGACAAGGTCATGCATTCTGTTTTCTTCCTTTGCCAGTAAGGACTGGACTATCTGTGCATGTGAATGGTTATTTTGAAGTTTCGTCCAATCGACGTGACATTTGGTATGGAGCTGACATGGACAGGGGTGGTAAGCTCCGTTCTGATTGGAACAGGCTACTGCTGGAAGATGCTGTTGCTCCATTGTTCAGAGAACTGTTGCTGGCGTTGCGGACACTTACAGACTCCACAATACTGTATTATTCTTTATGGCCAACTGGTTTATATGAGGAACCCTGGAGCATTCTTGTGGAACAAATTTACAAAGTTATCTATACATCTCCAGTTTTGCATTCAGAGATCAAAGGTGGGACATGGGTATCACCGGCTGAGGCTTTGCTTCATGATGAGGGCTTTTCAAGAAGTAATGATCTTAGTGAAGCTCTTGTATTGTTAGGCATGCCTGTTGTTCGTGTACCAAGTGCAATTGTTGATATGTTTTCAAAATTCTATATGAAGTCAAAGATAAAACGGGTTGCTCCTGCTGCAGTGAGACATTTTCTCCAAGATTTTGTAAAGCTTGGTACATTAGGAAAATCTCATAAGCTAATATTACTGGAATATTGCCTTAGTGATCTGGACAGTGCTGATATTGGTAAATGCATGAATGGCCTCCCACTGATTCCACTAGCAAATAAGCAGTATGGGATTTTTTCTGAGATTTCACAAGAGAGCACCTACTATGTCTGTGATAAGACAGAATATGACCTCCTTTCTGCAGTTGGTGACAGAATAATTGACCGAAGCATCCCCCCTGTACTACTAGACAAGCTGTATCAGATAGCCAATAACTCTCAGTCTCAGGTGAATATTTCACCCATTGATGGTCCAATCTTTCTTCAGTTCTTCCCCAGGCTATTTCCCCCTGGATGGAAGTGTAAAAACCAAGTTCCTTGGGATCCATCATCAGGTGTGTCATCTCCTACGGCAGATTGGTTTAAACTTTTTTGGCACTATATTGGGGAACGTTCTTATGACCTTGATTTGTTTAGTGACTGGCCTATACTGCCTTGTACTTCTGGACACCTTTACAGAGCATCTACAGCATCAAAGTTAATTGAAACAGAGTCACTATCTAGTTTGATGAAGGAACTATTGGCCAAGTTAGGTTGCAAGATATTAGACACCAAGTATTTAAGTGTGTATCAACAGCTTTTTCATTATGTATATGATGGTGATGCAACTGGAGTTCTTAATTCAATCTTTGGGATTGCCTCGCTGGAGGGAGTCGATGTGCATGCACTGTTTCAACGCATCAAGCCTGGTGAGAAAATTGAACTATACCAGTTTCTTCTAGATCCGAAATGGTACATAGGAGTCTGCCTTTCTGACATGAACATAAAGCTATGCAAAAAGTTGCCCATCTTCAGAGTATTTGATGGAGGATCTCACAGTTCTTATGGCTTCTCGGATTTGTCCGGTTCAAAAAAGTATCTGCCACCTCTTGGTGTTCCTGAGCACCTACTCAAGTCTGATTTTGTGTTCTGTATATCCCCAAGCAACGAAGATATCATAATGAGGTATTATGGTGTTGAACGTATGCCAAAATCAGTCTTCTACCAGAGGTATGTTTTGAACAAGTTAGATGAGTTGCAAGCAGAGGTTCGTGATTCAGTTATACTAGCCATCTTGCAAGATCTGCCCCAGCTGTCCTTGGAAGATCCAAGGTTCAAGGAAGGCTTGAAAGTCCTTAGATTTGTGCCAACCATTAATGGGACCTTGAAAAGTCCTCAGTCTCTTTATGATCCTCGAGTGGAAGAACTCTATGATCTTCTCCAGGAATCAGACTGCTTCCCCAATGGCTTATTTCAAAACCCAGACGTTCTTGATATGTTACTCTGCTTGGGGCTGAGAACTTCTGTTTCTACTGATACTATAATAGAAAGTGCTCGGCAAATTGATTCATTCGTGCGCAAGGATCAAGAGAAGGCTCATTCAAGGGGTAAATTGCTTCTTTCATATCTTGAAATTCATGCTCACAAATGGCATGTAAATAAGGCATTTGATGCCCGGAAGAAGGTGAATAATATGTTTGCGAAAGTCACTACTGCATTGAGGCCTCGTGATACGTCTTGGGAATTTGATCTCGAGAAGTTCTGGAGTGATTTGAGAATGATTTGTTGGTGTCCTGTGTTGGTCACTGCACCAAGCCCAGCCCTGCCGTGGCCTTCAGTTTCATCGATGGTCGCTCCACCTAAGCAAGTAAGGCTGCAGGAAGATATGTGGATTGTTTCTGCTAGCTCACGTATACTTGATGGCGAATGTACTTCCTCAGCTTTGTCTTATAGCTTAGGTTGGTCATCTCCTCCTTCTGGAAGTGTAATCGCTGCTCAGTTGCTTGAGCTGGGTAAGAACAATGAAATTGTGACTGATCAAGTCCTTCGGCAAGAGTTAGCGTTGGTGATGCCTAAGATTTATTCGTTACTGACTAATTTGATTGGTTCTGATGAAATGGATATTGTCAAAGTGGTTCTAGAGGGCTGCAGATGGATTTGGGTGGGCGACGGATTTGCAAAAGTTGATGAAGTTGTTCTAAGTGGCCACCTTCACCTTGCGCCTTACATTCGTGTCATTCCAATTGATTTAGCAGTTTTCAAGGACTTGTTCTTGGATCTTGGCATAAAGGAGCACCTCGACCCTGTGGATTACGCTAGTATTCTGACCAGAATGGCCATGAGGAAAGCCACGGCTTCGCTTGAAGCTGAAGAACTAAGGACAGCTGTGTTAGTGGTGCAGCATCTAGCTGAGTTCCGGTTTCAGGATCAGCAAACACAGATATATTTACCTGATTCTTCAGCTAGGCTCTGCCTATCTTCGGAACTTGTATTTAATGATGCTCCTTGGCTTCTTGACTCTGGTCAAGACATCTTTGGTGATGCATCCAGCATTGCTTTCAGCCCAAAGAAGTATGTTCACAATTTTGTGCATGGTAATATTTCCAATGACGTGGCAGAAAGGCTAGGTGTTCGCTCCCTTCGCCGTCTCTTGCTTGCTGAGAGTTCTGATTCGATGAATTTGAGTTTATCAGGGGTTGCTGAGGCTTTTGGACAACATGAAGATTTGACTACAAGGCTCAAGCATATTGTTGAGATGTATGCAGATGGTCCTGGGATTCTCTTTGAGTTGGTACAGAATGCAGAAGATGCTAAAGCTTCTGAGGTTGTGTTTCTTTTGGATAAGACCCAGTATGGTACTTCATCCATCCTTTCACCTGAAATGGCTGAATGGCAGGGGCCTGCTCTCTACTGCTTTAATGACTCAGTTTTTAGTCCACAAGACCTTTATTCCATCTCACGAATTGGTCAAGACAGCAAACTTGAGAAACCTTTTGCAATAGGAAGGTTTGGTCTTGGCTTCAATTGTGTCTATCACTTCACAGACATGCCTGGATTTGTTTCTGGTGAGAATATTGTCATGTTTGATCCACATGCCCGTTATTTACCAGGAATATCTCCTTCTCATCCAGGTTTAAGGATAAAGTTTGTAGGACGGAAGATCTTAGAACAGTTCCCTGATCAGTTCACACCATTCTTACACTTTGGTTGCAACCTGCAACAGCCATTTCCAGGTACACTTTTCCGGTTTCCTCTTAGGAATGAAGCTGCCGCTTCTAGAAGTCAAATAAAGCGCGAACAATATGCAACCCAAGATGTGGAGATGCTTTTCTCTTCATTCTCTGAAGTTGTATCTGAGGCTCTACTTTTTCTCCGCAACGTTAAAAAGATAACTCTGTATGTCAAGGAGCATGACTCCCAGGAGATGCAACTTGTTCATCGTGCTTTGAAGCAGAACAGTTCCGAGGTCTCCAAAGAACCACATGCACTTAATACGATGCTTGCATTTGTACATGGAAATCAATCATCAGGAATGGATAGGAATACTTTTTTCAATAGGTTGAATAAGACAAAAGACAGTGATTTACCCTGGAGTTGTCAAAAAGTTGCTATTCTTGAGCAAAGCCCTACTGTCCACTTGGTGCATTCATGGATCTTAACCGAGTGTATAGGCGGGGGTCATGCTAGAAAGTTGTCAACTGCTTCTGATAGTAAATCTCATTTCTTTGTTCCCTGGGCATCAGTAGCTGCATATCTGCATTCTGCGAGTGTGGATGATACCAAAGAACTGTCTGGTGAAGCTGAAGTTAACTGTGATGATTCTGTTCCTAAGCATCTAGCTCTCCAATCTTCTCAGAGCAGGAATTTGTTTGAGGGTCGGGCCTTTTGTTTTCTTCCTCTACCAATCAACACTAGCATACCAGTGCACGTAAATGCTTATTTTGAACTATCTTCAAATCGAAGGGATATCTGGATTGGAAATGACATGGCCGGGGGAGGAAGAGTGCGATCAGAATGGAATCTTGCACTGCTTGAAGATGTGGCTGCTCCTGCTTATGGCCACCTCCTTGCAGCCATGGCAGAAGAACTTGGTCCCTCTGATCTGTTTCTCTCATTTTGGCCTACTGCTGTAGGTGCAGAGCCATGGTCTTCCATGGTGAGGAAGCTTTATGTATCAATCGCGGAACTTGGACTTAATGTTTTGTATACGAAAGCTCGAGGTGGCCATTGGGTGTCAACGAGGCAAGCTATTTTTCCTGATTTCAGTTTCTCAAAGGCAGCCGAGCTGGCAGAAGTTCTCTCACAAGCTGGTTTACCTTTGGTATCTGTATCCAAGCTGATAGTAGACAGTTTCATAAATGCATATCCATCAGTTCATCTCCTGAATCCTCATTTGCTAAGGAACTTGTTGATCCGACGGAAGCGCGGGTTCAAAAGCAGAGAAGAGGCCATACTTGTTCTGGAGTATTGCTTGAGTGATATGGATGATCCTTCCCTTTCTGATAAATTGCACGGATTGGCTCTTCTTCCTTTGGCAAATGGATCATTCACAACATTCAATAACCGAGGGGAGGGTGAAAGAGTATTCTTTGCTTCAGAAATGGAATTTGACTTTCTTAAGGATTCAGTACCACATCTTGTTATTGATAACTCTTTACCAGATAGCGTTTTGAAGAAGTTGTTTGACATAGCTTCTTCTGCACGGTCAAACATGTACTTATTTACGTGCAATTTCCTTCTTGAGCTGTTGCCCGGGATTTTGCCGCCTGAATGGCAGCATGCTAAGCAGTTATCTTGGTTTCCTGAACAGCAAGGCCAGCCAAGCGTGGAATGGATGATATCACTTTGGAATTTCTTGCGTCATTCATGTGAAGATCTTTCAATATTTGCAAAATGGCCTATACTACCACTTGTAGATGGCAAGCTTATGCAACTTGGCAGTGCTTCAAATGTAATAAGAGATGATGGTTGGAGTGAAAATATGCACTCATTGCTTCAGAAACTGGGCTGTTTCTTTCTGAGACCTGATCTGCAGATAGAGCACCCCCAGTTAGCTAATTTTGTTCAGGAATCCACTGCAGCTGGTGTTCTGAATGCTGTGCATTCCGTTGCTTCTAATGTCCAGGATATTAAGGAACTTTTCGAGAGTACTTCATTGGCAGAAACACATGAGCTCCGTAGTTATATTTTCCAGTCAAAGTGGTTTTCAGGGAATCAGATAAACATTTCACATATGAATACAATCAGGAACCTCCCCATATTTGAATCTTATAAATCTAGGGAGCTTGTTAGTTTGGCAAATCCTAGAAAATGGCTTAAACCCGACGGTGTACATGAGAATCTGTTGAATGGAAGCTTTATAAGAACTGAATCTGAAAAGGAAAAGTCGATTTTAGTATCATACTTTGATATCAGGGAACCTGAAAAGGCTGAATTTTACAAGGATCATGTGCTTCCTCGGATGTCAGAGTTTCTGTCACAGCCAGCTGTTGTTTCAGCAATTGTTCGTGATGTGAAGCTGTTGATAGAAGACAATAGTTCTGTGAGAGCTGCGTTGTCTGAAACCCCTTTTGTCTTAGCAGCTAGTGGAGCATGGCTACATCCTTCTAGGTCTCTCTCTCTCTCTCTCTCTCTCTCTCTCTCTCTCTCTGATATTTGAGAATGTGTATTTGGGTTGGTTAACCTTATCTTCTTTACTTGTATGCTCCAGCAGCTTTTATTAGCATTTGCACTAGGATGAGGTTTCAATGACTTAAATATTGATGTTCATCTTTTCTTTTGTCCTTTGCTCTCTAGACTTCAGTATGAATAACACCTATTTTTCTTCAGGCTTTATGATCCTCGTGTGCCAGAGTTTCGTAAGTTGCTGCACAAAGAAACCTTCTTTCCTTCAGAAAAGTTCATGGCAACTGAAATAATTGAACTGTTGGCAAGTTTTGGACTGAAAAGAAAAATGGGTTTTAGTGCTTTGCTTGACATTGCAAGGTCAGTTTCACTGGTGCACAATTCGGGACAAGATGATGATGCATGTGCGCATGGGCAAATACTACTTACCTGTCTAAATGTTCTTGAATCAAAGACGTCAAACATGGAGGACAAGGACACTTTCCATGAGGATGTCGATCTCGAAGCTTCTAAAACTGATGAAAATTTGGAAGCAGTAAATGAAGTGGGTAGTTGTGACCCAGACCCAACTATTATGTCTTTATTCTCAAACTTTGATCTTGACCTACCAGAGCCTGAGTTTTGGTCAGAGCTGAAAAATATTTCTTGGTGTCCCGTCCATGTTGCACCACTTATTAAAGGTCTTCCATGGCTCGAATCAGAAGATCATGTAGCACCTCCAGTCATTACAAGGCCGAGATCACAAATGTGGCTTGCTTCATCAAAAATGCGGATACTGAATTCCGATTCTTGTTCCATGTATCTGCAAAGAAAACTCGGTTGGTTAGACCCACCAAATGTGAATGTTTTATTGTCCCAGTTAGTTGAGCTTTCCAAGTCTTATGATGAACTCAAGATGTTTTCTGAAGACACATCCATCGATGCTGTCCTACAAAAGGAGATCAAACTAATCTACTCGGAATTGCAAGATATCGTTGACAGTGGTGATGCCCACATTCTGAAAGAGAATCTGGATGGGATTTCATGGGTCTATATAGGGGACAGGTTTGTGCCTCCACATGCACTTGCATTTGAATCGCCTGTAAAGTATCATCCTTATCTTTATGCAGTTCCGTCTGAACTGTCAGAATTTAAAAAGTTACTCTTCAAGTTGGGTGTGAGGCAGACATTTGATGCAACAGATTATCTCAATGTACTTAGTCGCTTACAAGGTGATGCCAAAGGAGAGCAATTGTCTGCAGAACAACTGAGTTTTGTTCATTGTGTTTTGGAAGCATTTGTGGATTGTTATCCTGACAGTCAAGCAGCTGATGCTTTACTGAATTCATTGGTGATTCCAGATTCATTTGGTGTCCTGACACCTTCGAGAAACCTTCTCTATAATGATGCACCCTGGATGGATACTGATTCCACTTCAAAGCATTTTGTGCATCATAGTATTGGTAATGATCTGGCCAATAGACTAGGGGTACGATCTCTTCGTGGATCTTCGTTATTGGATGATGAGCTAATGAGGGATTTGCCATGCATGGAATATGCTAAGATAAGTGAGTTGCTAGCTCTGTATGGTGAGAGTGACTTCCTTCTGTTTGACCTCATAGAGCTAGCTGACTCTTGCAATGCAAAGAAAGTGCACCTGATCTATGATAAAAGAGATCATCCGAAGCAGTCTCTATTGCAGCAAAATCTAGGTATGCTACAAACCGTCTCTCTGTACAATTATTTCAGTCACACTCTTCTTTATTCCTATAAACAGTCTGCTATCAGTAGTTATTATTCTGTTTGTCTCCTTTATCCTATGACTGCAAAATTGATACCTAAATATTTGACCCATTTAATGTGATGAATTTTTTGTTCCAAAAAATATCTTTAGGTGACCTCCAGGGTTCTTCATTGACAGTGGTCTTTGAAGGAACCATGATAAGCCGAGAAGAAGTTTGCAGCCTCCAACTTCCTCCTCCTTGGAAACTAAGGGGAAACATCCTTAACTACGGGCTGGGACTTCTTAGCAGCTATTTTGTATGTGATGCCTTGACTATTCTTTCTGCTGGCTATTTCTACGTTTTTGATCCATTGGGCTTGACTGGTGGTGCAACTTCCACTGCAACCTCGTCTGCCAGATTCTTCTCTTTGATAGGTACAGTTGTTACTTCAGTTACACTTGCTGAATTCATTTATAGAATAAATTTTCATGTTCTAGTTGGTTATGACTTGTTAGAGCATACTCAAATGCCAAAGTAGGCTCTGAGCCAAGGGCTGAAAGAAATATGTTTCAGCGTCTACACCAGTTTCTTTCGGGCAGACAGGCCTGTTGAGGACCCACGTTGAAGCATGTACTATTCCATGTATGCTGGATTTTTTATGAGTATTTAGATTTTTTAATGAGGAATTGGACATTCTATTTATGCTATGGTTCATTAATTGAACTACTGCGTCACTGTTCTGCCATATGCATATGTGATTCCAGTATTAGTTTATTGTTCTAGTATCAGCTCATGTTTTTTATACTTTGAATGAAGCCCTTAACGCTACTGGCTTTTCAGGAAATGACTTGGTTGAGAGATTTCGTGATCAGTTCCTCCCAATGCGCGTTACACAGGAGGCTTCATTGTCTTCTGCAAACTCTACGGTTATTCGGATGCCTTTATCTTCAAAATGTCTGAAAGAACTTGAAGCAGGTTGCGACAGAGTAAAGCAGATTTTTGAAAGATTTATGCAGAATCCATCCAGTACTCTCCTGTCCCTGAAGTCAGTCATTCAGGTAAGAGTTATTTGTGGATGCTTTCACACTGAAGTCGTAAATCATAATACTTTCTGTACATTCAGTTTAGTCTTTCTGCTGCAAAGTGTTACGGCTTGTGTGTTTCTTCACTCATAATTTGTTACTCTGCTACTGAATTTCATATCCTGTGATCACATTGATGTACTTTAAACTGCAAAGAAGACACTTTCATTTGCATCTGAATTTCATTTCCAGTGATCACATTGATGTACTTTAAACTGCAAACAAGGTATTTAGCTCAAGTACGCCCCTAGATTATATTTCAAACTGAACATGTTAGCACTCCCTTTATCTTATCTTACGCTATTGTTCTTTTGTAGTATTCTTCTTCTATTATTTTTAATGTTTCTTGATTTATCCAGGACCACAATTCTATTTTAATTTAACTGGTTGAGCATGTATTGAAGAGAAACTGGATATTACTGAGTAATTCTTTCTTTTGTTGCATATCTTTAGTTGTAGAAGGATAATAATATGCCGAAAAATGAAACTGACCACATTAGCTTAGCAATACGATTTCCTTTGACTTGCCTAAGTGCTTAGTTTTCTTAAAAGATATTCAGTATGCGCAATTGCTTTTTAGTTTAGTAGATGTGTTCAGTGTTTAATGTGAACATGTTATGGAACTGTATCAGAGGGTGATATTTCTTATGAAAACACCAAGTGTATATATTATGGCAGAATGCCAGAGAACTTCCAATCTTTGTTGATCTTTTGGATGTAGACTTTTTTTTACCTGTTGGATGTAGACTATTGATCAAATAGTATTTGACACATAGTTACTTTTTGTATAACTTTGTAGTTTGTATGAAGACAGTAATTATTTTATAGCCATCCTGTACTGTCTTTTAATCGATAGTACTCAAAACTGAAACAGTTTTGCTGCACCTACTCGATAGTGATTTCAATATCGAGTGCTGGCAGTGCTAAACCATAGTTACAATAGCATGCCATCTATTCAGACATAGTAATGATAAAGCCCTAGTGGATGATTTGACAGCATGATTTATAAAATTAAAACATGATCTGCATTTATTAAGTGATGTCAATGTGTTTTGAATCAGGTATCTTTATCAACATGGGAGGATGCAGCCTCTCAGCCAACCCTGAACTATTCCGTGCTTGTTGACCCATCAGTAGCTACTTTGAGGAACCCATTTTCAGAAAAGAAATGGAGAAAGTTTCAAATATCCAGAATATTTGCAAGTACAAGTGCAGCAATCAAAATGCAAGCTATAGATGTGCATGTGATTGAGAGTGGCTGCAGTTATATTGACAAATGGTTTGTTGCCCTCTGCCTTGGGTCAGGGCAAACAAGGAATATGGCTCTTGACAGGTTTGTCTCTTTCAGATCATACTGTAGTTGAGAACCTTTTGTACATTAAATGCCACTCACTTTACCTACTGACTAATTCCCAAGATTCTTCTATGGATGTTGTTAAATGTCTATGCTAATGTAAACGTCTTTGGCATACATTGATTTATTTCTGTTTCAGACGGTATCTTCCCTACAACTTAACTCCTGTTGCTGGAGTAGCAGCTCACATAGCTCGAAACGGAGTACCAACCAATATAAATGCATCCAGTTGTATATTATCTCCTTTGCCGCTATCTGGGTCAATAAGCATGCCAGTCACGACTATAGGTCATTTCCTTGTGAGGCATGATGGTGGACGCTACATTTTTGGCAGCACACATGATAAATCTTTACGGGAAATGGACAGAAACAAATTGGTTGAAGCATGGAATGAGGAACTTATGCTATGTGTGCGTGATTCATATGTTGAGATGGTCCTAGAATTTCAAAAGCTTAGGAAAGACCCTCTATCTTCTGCTATTGAATCACGCTGTGCACACTCTGTGAGTATTATTTTACAGGCTTATGGTGATAGGGTATACTCTTTTTGGCCAAGATCGAAACAACCTACAGCTTCACTCACTGGGCAAGGTTCTGCCGTAGACAATTTGAATTCACCAAGAACATCTAAAGCAGATTGGCAGTCCTTGATAGAGCAAGTGATAAGACCATTCTATTTACGGTTGGCTGATCTTCCCGTTTGGCAACTTTACCGGGGAAATCTTGTTAAAGTGGGCGAGGGTATGTTCTTATCCCACTCAGGGAGCGGAGACGATGATAACCTACCATCTGCTACTGTCTGTAGTTTCATTAAAGAGCACTATCCTGTTTTTTCTGTTCCATGGGAGTTGGTTAGTGAAATCCAAGCAGTTGGAGTTACTGTAAGAGAGATCAGGCCCAAGATGGTTAGAAATCTACTAAAAGAGTCTTCATCCATTTTACTTCGATCTGTTGAAACATATATAGATGTTCTTGAATATTGCTTCTCCGATATGGACCCATACCGGTTTACAGATCTACATATACCTGATCAGTCACAACTTAACAGTCAACTTGTTCAACCAGTGAATGCTTCCACATCACAATTTATGCCATCTTCAAGCAGTTCTTCATCTTACCATACAAGTACACAGAGGCCGGGTACTTCTGGGGGCGACGCACTTGAAATTATGACATACTTCGGGAAGGCCCTATATGACTTCGGTCGGGGGGTTGTCGAGGATATCAGCAAGACCAGTGGCCCAGCATCCCATAGGGCCCAAGCTGCTGAGAATAATGTGTTGTCATCTATCATATCTGAACTCAAAGGTGTCCCATTTCCAACGTCAACAAAATGTCTAACAAGGCTGGGAGCTACCGAACTTTGGATTGCCAATGAGGAGCAGCAAATATTGATGCGCCCCTTGCTAGATCGCTTTATCCATCATCAGTGTTTAGAAAAGCCTTTCTTGGCACTGCTGCTCTCAACTCAGGTTATTCATGTGCCTCTGAAATTGAGGAGTTTTTCTCCTCACTTATTATCAGGCCATTTGAAGCACATATTTGATGAGCGTTGGGTACGTGCAGTTGAGAGGAAGCCACAATGGGTTCCTTGGGACAGTAGTTCTGATTCATCAACCACTGGGCCAACTCCCAAATGGATTAGAAGCTTCTGGAAAATATTTAGCTCCTTGAATGGTGACCTTTCACTTGTGTCTGATTGGCCCTTGATTCCTGCTTTTCTCAACAGGCCAATTCTCTGCTGTGTGAAAGAACGCCATCTAATATTTGTACCTCCAGTGGATGATTCAAACACTCAGATGGTACATGTTAGTGCGGTTGTTGATGATGTAGCTAGTGAGGTTGATACATCTGGTCTAAACGGAGATGACACTGGTGAAGCTGAACAGAAGAGTCCACTTGATACTGCATTCGAGTCAATGAACTCAAAGTTTCCGTGGTTATCTGCTCTGCTTAATCAGTTGAACATACCAATTCTTGATTTGTCTTTCCCAGAGTGTGGTGTCATATGCAATTTGTTTCCTTCACGTGATCGAACTCTTGGACAGACGATTGCTTCCAAGTTAGTTTCAATAAAAAATGATGCTCATTTACCTTCATCACTTAGTCTATCAAGTGAAGATTGTGATAGACTGTTCATGCTATTTGTCTCAGACTTCAGATTATCTAGCAGCCACCTTTATCAGAGAGAAGAATTGGATGCCTTGAGAGAGCTTCCGATGTATAAAACAGTTACAGGAGCATACACTAGTCTGTCAGGGTCTGATCATTGCATTATTTCTCCCACAGCATTCTTTCACCCCAGTGATTCCCAGTGTTTTTCTAGCTCAGATAATGCAAATTTGTTTCTTCAGGCTTTGGGGGTTGAACAATTAAATGATCAAGAAATACTAGTGAGGTTTGCTTTGCCTGGCTTTGGGAACAAAACAGTTCAAGAGCAGGAAGACATTTTAGCCTACTTGTATGCTAACTGGAAAGATCTGCAACTTAATTCAGCTGTAGTAAATACCTTGAGGGAGACTAATTTTGTGACAAATGCAAATGAGTTTTGTACAGAGCTGTTCAAACCAAAGGAACTACTTGACCCTTCAGATGCTTTGCTGGCTTCAGTATTTTCTGGGGAGAGAAATAAGTTCCCTGGCGAAAGGTTCATGTCAGATGGTTGGCTTGGTATACTCAGAAAAGTGGGTCTTCGGATATCTACAGAGGCTGATATGATAGTACAGTGTGCTACGAAAATAGAAACAATGGGAAATGATGTGATGTCATCTTTAGAGAAACATGATGACTTTGATGCAGACTTGTCAGACAGAAAAAATGAAATTCCTTTTGAGTTATGGTCATTGGCAGAATCTGTTGTAAATGTGATTTTGGCAAATTTTGCTACTTTGTACGATAGCAGTTTTTGCCAAAAGATCGGAAAAATTGTATTTGTACCTGCAGAAAAAGGCTTTCCAAGTATTGGTGGCAAGAAAGGGGGTAGAAGGGTATTTGCATCTTATAGTGAGGCTATCTTATTAAAGGACTGGCCATTGGCATGGAGCTCTGCTCCAATTCTTGCCAAACAATCAATTATTCCACCTGATTTTTCTTGGGGAGCATTTCAGCTTCGGAGTCCCCCTGCCTTCTCTACAGTTCTAAAGCACTTGCAGGTCAATGTTGTAAAATACTTGCAGTTTAATATCGAAATGATTTCTTCCCTTACTTTTTTGTGAAATTAAACAGACTGTTGGGAGAGGCAATGGTGAGGACACACTGGCACACTGGCCATCTTCATCAGGCATAATGACAGTAGAGGATGCCTTTCTCAGGATCTTGCGGTACTTGGAGAAAGTATGGGGAACAATATCGTCTTCAGGTAGCACAAATACGCAACTAAGCTTTTACCTTACTGTATATGCCATAAAATTTTGCCATTTGTAGTAATATCGTTAGTTCCTCACCTTTGCACTCTCTTCAGTTCCAATTACTTGTGGTGAAGTTTGTTCTCTCATTTTTTTTACTACAAGACACCTAATGATACACTTGGTGTTGCAACCAGTCCCAATTCTATTCGGTGAGGTTTCATATTTGAGTGCAATCATACAAATTTTCGTGTGGCCTGTAAGGCGGATGAAGCCCTGAAAAGTGAAGACAATATATCCAGATTAAATTGCACCTGAAATGGTCATGCGAGTCCCCTAAATATCTAGATTTGATCTAATAAATTTCCTTTTTCACGTAAAACTTTTTGAGGCCAGCTCTGTAGATGCTCCATATTTCAAAAACGGTAAAACCTGTGGCGAACTATTCATAATCGCTTGTTCTCTGCATCAACTCAATGTCTTCAGTTATTTCAGCCGGGAATCATTTGCTTGCTTGAGTGAGATTTACTTCTTGCTGATATTGTAAAGAAATGAACAGTTATTACCATGGTCATGTGTGATTTTGACATTTTTCCAGTGTGCTTATCCATGTTGCTTGATTGAGGTAGTGAGAAGTCATAACTGATAAACCATAAAGCCAATACAGCTACTAATGAACTTGCTAAGACATGCCCTTGAGGTTGTATTTATACATGTGTACACGTTTTTCTTTGCTATGGTATATAGATAACCACAGAAGGGAAGGTGCAGTGAGTTTTTGTTGCTTTTTGAAAAGAAATCCGCTATTACTCTAAGCTGATTGTTTTTATTGCTTCATTTTCTTTTCAGGAAAAACAGAATTGATGGAACTGGCATTTATACCAGTTGCAAATGGTACTCGCTTAATAGAAGCGAAATCACTTTTTGCTCGCCTGACTATCAACATGTCACCTTTTGCTTTTGAACTTCCAAGTCTGTATCTTCCATTTGTTGCCATTCTTAGAGAAATTGGGATGCAGGAAAGCCTTACAAACTCTTATGCAAAGGAGCTTCTTTTAGATATCCAAAAAGCATGTGGTTACCAACGCCTGAACCCAAACGAACTCCGCGCAGTGATGGAAATCTTGGACTACATGTGTTCAGGAGTCAGCCAGCCTATCTCAGACGGATCAGAAGGGCTTTTTGATTCTGTAATACCAGATGATGGCTGCAGGCTTGTCTCAGCTACATCATGTGTGTATATTGACCCATATGGTTCTCATTTGCTGAGTAATATTAATACATCCAGGATAAGATTTGCTCACCCAGATCTTCCTCAGAACATTTGCAAGGCCTTGGGCATAAAAAGACTCTCCGATGTCATTGTAGAGGTATACTTCTCTAACATGATCTGACATTTCTTTGCCAAATAAATGATTTTGTGGAAGCAATCTTAATTGGTTTCTATTTCAAATTAACTTAAATTTTGCCTTGTCAGGAACTTGATGGGAAAGAAGAGATTGAGGTTCTGGACAACATTTGCTCAGTTACTCTGGATAGAATAAAAGAGAAGATGCTTACTAAATCTTTGCATGCTGCATTAAGGATTGTGATGATCGGTATAACCAATCATTTCCCTTCTTTTGAAGCCCTCAGTATAGTGCAAATAGAAAGTATACTAAAGGATATATCACAGAATCTGCAGTTTGTTAAACATGTCCATACTCGCTTCCTATTGCTTCCCAATCTCCAAGATGTTACGAGAACAGCTCAGCATCCTTCTCTTGCTGAATGGTCAAGCAACGGAAAGCACCGAAGCATTTATTTTGCTGATAAATCCATGGGTCATATTCTAATCGCAGAGCCCCCGAGTTTTTTGACAGTACATGATGTTATTGCAATTGTCGTCAGTCACAGATTAGGGGCACCGGTAATCTTGCCAATCGCTTCGGTATTTGCATGCCCAGATGGTTCAGAGAAAGAAGTGCTTCAAATACTCCATCTTGGCACTGACGTTGGAGTTTCGAAACGCGAAGGAAGGTATGACTGTTCCCTGGGAGGAGAGTTATTGTCACAAGATGCTCGCCAGGTCCAATTCCTTCCGTTGAGACCATTCTACAGCGGAGAGATTGTGGCATGGAAGACAGGAAAAGAGGGGGAAAAGCTCAGGTATGGTAGGGTTCCTGAAGACGCAAGGCCATCAGCCGGCCAAGCACTTTACAGGTTTCCGGTGGAGACAGCCCCTGGCGAGACTCGCATGCTACTCTCCAGTCAGGTTTACTCATTTAAGAGTGTTTCAACGGCTGACCTCTCTTCTGCACCTTCCCAACTGGATGTTGGTAGAGTGGCAGAAGTTGGACAACCGGGCCACTCGTCCGTCAGCGCTAGAACTGAAGGCGCAGATGATACGGTTAGTTTTCATTTTTTTTTTGGGTGCAGTCTCTACTCTTTGGGATCTGGATTGTTTGCCATAAAATAGTTTTACTGTTTTACAGGCTGCTGGGCTTGAATACGGCAAAGTATCTTCCACGGAGCTGGTACAAGCAGTCCATGATATGCTTTCAGCTGCAGGGGTAAGGATGGATGCTGAGAAGGAAACACTGCTACAGACTACTCTTTCCTTGCAAGACCAGCTTAAAGAATCTCAAGTGGCTCTCTTGGTGGAGCAGGTTTGTTCACTTCAGTGTCTTTTATGTTGCCTTCAATCTATTTCCTATTTGGTACTCCCTCTGTAAGGAAATATAATAGTGTTTACTCCATAGATGGCTAAAGTAGTGATCTAAACACTCTTATATTTCTTTACGGAGGGAGTACTATCTGTCCAGTCACTTGTCGACTAAGACACAGGCTATGCACTCGTATATCATGTCTTTTAGGCAATTTTCACCAGGATCTGGTACTTCTATAGATGTTTTCATAGGGGTTTCGACGCACTGACCGGAGAAATTACGTAGTTAGTTGCACAATGTAATGTCCTAGGGAAACCACTTCGTAGTTGCATCACATAGCATACTGTAAGCTACTCCCTCCGTCCCATAATGTAAGACGTTTTTTAACACTACACTAGTGTCAGAAAACGTCTTACATTACGGGACGGAGGGAGTACCTAGTTAGCATCACAGAATCACCACTCTTCTGAATTCTAACTTAAAGCGCTTCTGAAAACATGCTTGCCTATATGACACTGAAAGTTGTTTACACTACTAATGTAGGAAAAAGCCGAGTCGGCGGTGAAAGAAGCCGACATTGCCAAGGCGGCATGGTCGTGCCGCGTCTGCCTGAACTCCGAGGTCAACATGACCATCGTACCGTGCGGCCACGTCCTGTGCAACAGGTGCTCGAGCTCGGTGTCGCGATGCCCGTTTTGCCGGACCCAGGTATCCAAAATGATGAAGATATTCAGGCCATGAAGACACCGAGGGGCACCTGCTCGACTTTCTTCAGATCTCGCATTCTTTGCTCGACGAGCGTGTGTAAATATAAACTCCAGTAGCAGTCTAGCCCCTGTACAGTATAGGCACAGCGCATTCTAGTTTAGTTTAGACTGGTGCGATGCGACCACGACACGGTATGGTAGTCGTCAGCCTTATGTGAAAATTCATACCGGAGCTGACCGAAAGCTCGTAGAAATATGGCTGCGCGGTGCCTAACATTTTCAGGTTTCTTTCAGACTCGTTTCGTTGTCTAGCTGCTGAAAGCGTTTGATCTGAACTTCCAACCAACTCATGGAAACATCGTTTTCTTGCTGACGAAATAACCCTGGCTACAGAAAAGTCCTCCTATGCCTTATTTCTGGAGCCTAGCCACGCTGGTCCAAAATATCAATGCCCACTTGTTTTGTACAGTAGTAGCTACAGACAGGGCAAGGCTACTGCTTGCTGATTAGGGTTCTGCGTATCCAATCTGGATTATGTCTGCTTCTTGCCTGGCCACAGCCCACAATTAGTTAGTGCTTCCTGATTACCCACTCCGTTCTGAGATTAGAGATTCTAATATGGACTACATAGGAAGCAAAATTAGTGAATCTACACTCTAAAACACGTCTCTATACATCTATATGTAGTCTATTGAAGTCTCTAAAATGGCTTATATTAGGAACGGAGGGAGTAGGTAACTTGTACTGACTGAGCATGAGCATGCGGACCCAAATACACCTGGCAAAATTAAGGGAGAACGCTCCTTGCACCGTGATCCTGATCCTAATCACCTGCCTTGTCTGTTGGCACACGGGTTAAAATGCAAAAGCAAAAAAGTTCCAACGCAGCAGCGAGAAAAAAATCTCGCTCACACGACGTGTAGTGACCGAGTCGCTCAAGCTTCTCCCACCCCTCCGGCCACCGCTTCAGATGCCAAGCAGCTGCTTCCTCCAGCAGCGGGAACGGTTCCTCCTACTACCAGAGATCTAGTGGCGGTGGCCGCGCGAGGTGGTTGTGGGCGACGGACTACGACCTGTACGCCTGCCTTGTAAGCAGTACAGAGCAGGCGATCGGGAGAACAAAGTCTTCGGGTGGGACAAAGCAGAGTTAAACCGCTGTGTGTTGGGCTGGGCAAGAGTGAGCGCGTGAGTTGGGCCATGGGCCTTGTAACGAGTCCGCAGTATATAAGCGGGCGTGTGCGTTGGGCAAAGACAAGTTTGAAATGAGAATATTCTGAATCTATTCTATCTTATCTCTTCCTGTCCACCGCTCGTCTCTAAGCTCTGTCCTTCCCTGCTGTCTCTCTCTCTCTGCTCATCGCCGTCGACTCCGACCACCGTAGGGCCGTGACAGTTGGTATCAGAGCCATCGCTCCGGCGGGCCTGTGGGGGCAGCGTCTCGCCGCGCCGCCGCGCTGCAATTTTTTTCCCTGAGTCGTACCCGGCAAATCCGAGGCGACGGTAGCGGATCACCCTAGGGTACGATCTGCGTAATTTCCGACCTGAGGTGGGTTGATTCGGAGGAAAACCAGCGACCACGACGACATTCAAGCCCAACCCGCAGTCGCGCTTTTTGGCGGACGAGATGGAAGCGTTCCAAGAGCGGATGCTGCAGGAGTTCGCCGCGTTGCGGGCCACGCAGAACAAGCTGGACGCGGTCGATGGGATCCGCGCTCAGCTGGAGGCTCTCGACGCCAAGCTATCGGAGCAAACAGCGTGGCTGGACCAGGTACAAGTCAAGGTCAATCTCTCCTGTGATACGTTGGGGCAGGTGCAGCAGAACCAGAGTCATGTTGTTCAGATGCACAAGCGGCAGGATACTACGAAAGCGTCGTCTCCAACCGCATCAGAGGTCTCCGATGGCATTCTGGGGGCGGGGCCCAAGTTACCTGTGAAGGAAATATGCCCTAGAGGCAATAATAAAGTTATTATTTATTTCCTCATATCATGATAAATGTTTATTATTCATGCTAGAATTGTATTAACCGGAAACATGATACATGTGTGAATACATAGACAAAACTATAGTCACTAGTATGCCTCTACTTGACTAGCTCATTAATCAAAGATGGTTATGTTTCCTAACCATAGACATGTGTTGTCATTTGATTAGTGGGATCACATCATTAGAAGAATGATGTGATTGACATGACCCATTCCGTTAGCCTAGCACTTGATCGTTTAGTATACTGCTATTGCTTTCTTCATGACTTATACAAAGTTCCTACAACTATAAGATTGTGCAACTCCCGTTTACCGGAAGAACACTTTGTGTGCTACCAAACGTCACAACGTAACTGGGTGATTATAAAGGTTCTCTACAGGTGTTTCCGAAGGTACATGTTGGGTTGGCATAATTCGAGATTAGGATTTGTCACTCCGATTGTCGGAGAGGTATCTCTGGGCCCTCTCGGTAATACTCATCACCTAAGCCTTGCAAGCATGTAACTAATGAGTTAGTTGTGAGATGATGTATTACGGAACGATTAAAGAGACTTGACGGTAACGAGATTGAACTAGGTATTGGATACCGACGATCAAATCTCGGGCAAGTAACATACCGATGACAAAGGGAACAACGTATGTTGTTATGCGGTTTGACCGATAAAGATCTTCGTAGAATATGTAGGAACCAATATGGGCATCCAGGTCCCGCTATTGGTTATTGACCGAGAATGGTTTTAGGTCATGTCTACATAGTTCTCGAACCCGTAGGGTCCGCACGCTTAACGTTTCGATGACCGTTTTATTATGAGTTTATAAGTTTTGATGTACCGAAGTTTGTTCGGAGTCCCGGATGTGATCACGAACATGACGAGGAGTCTCGAAATGGTTGAGGCATAAAGATTGATATATTGGACGACTATATTCGGACACCGGAAAGGTTCCGGGTGATTTCGGAGAAAACCGGAGTGCCGGGGGGGTTACCGGAACCCCCCGGGAGAGTTAATGGGCCACATGGGCCTAGGTGGGAAGAGAGAGGGGCGGCCAGGGTGGGCCGCGCGCCCCCTCTCCCTCTGGTCCGAATTGGACTAGGAGGGGGGG